CAGGCACAGGAATGCTTCACGCTGCGTGATGGCGTCGATCTCCAGGGCGTGTCCTGGGACGCACACGGCCATGAGAGTCCAGAACTCGACCCACTTGTTCCCCTTGGGGCGGATAGCCGCCTTGAGGGCGTGGTTGTAGGCAGTTTTGGCAGGGCCCGATGGTGCTTGAATGTCGGTGCCCGTGGTGCAGACACTGGCCGCAAGGGAACGGGCGTGCCGCGCCTTGATAAGCATCGGTGATGGGAGCTTGCCAATGCGCGGCAGACGGATAGTCGCCCTCCGAACACGGGCATCTGCGGTGGCCGTGAGGTTAAGCGCGGCTGGAGCCGGCGCTGCCTCGGCGTTGATGTAACTCCCGACGAGCTTGAAGGAATCGACCACACGTAGGGGCCGCTCCGCCAGAGTGAGCTGGGTGACGGCGGCGTGAAGTTCGTCGGTGAGCGCCCACCCTGCCACTTTACCAGGGTGAATGCGTTGACCTGAGAATCGATCAAACTTGGCGGCTTCGTCAAGAGATTTCTGCAGCTCAGACGCGGTGTGGGTGGTGGAGTTGCTGTCGTCAACAAAGGTAGTGCTGAGCGATCGAGGGACGTATCGATGCTGCCTCTTAGTCCACACGCACATGAGCAGCTTGATGTCGTCCAGGGACCACGAACTTCCCTGGAGGTGACCGTTAGTCCTGGCCAAGTCCTTAGAGTACGCTCCGTTCATGCGGATGTAGCGTTTGTGGTGGTTGTAGAAGTTTCGGCGGACAGTAACGATGTCTTGAGGGCACCCCGCGTGGAGTGCAAGGTTAAGGCAGATGTCCGTGATGAGGTAATCGAAGCACTTCTGTCGGTCTAGGGCAGCTCCAGCTAAGGGGAGGAGCAAAGCCCTGGCGTGCTCGATGCGCAGGGCGAGAGAGGTGCTGACATCCCCAATGGTAGCTTTGGGAACCGCGCCGAAACTCGTGGCGTGGGTCCATCCTTTCCGCCAGTCCGTGAGGCTACGGTAGGCTGGCGCTTCCCACGCGTACATCCAAACGGAGAGAACCGAGAGGAGTCGTTGGTCCGTCGGAAGTTCCCCTCGGCCTTTTCTGAGGCACGGGTTTGGCACGTGAAGGAGGGGTTCTGGGATGTTGCCAGTGCGTTGCATAGCACGTAAGACGCTGGCGAAGAGGCGAAGGATGTCGTCGGGTAACTCCTTGGCCTCCTTAGTTGTCCAGCCGTCGAGTCCACCCGCGCGGCACGGTGGACGGTTGCGAATGAAGTGGATGAGTTGGTCGTCGGTGAGGTGGAAAGGGACTGCTGGTGATGGCGTAGGCAGCTCTTCTCGGTACTCGTCATAAAAGTCTGCCCACGTCGGCATGGCTTCGGCATCATGTCCAGCACGAGCGCGGTACCTGCCCAAGATGGGCTCCCAGGTGTCGACCATGAGCTTAAGCATGTCTTTGGTATTGGCCACAATGGCGTTGGCGGGAAGGGCGTCGGGAACCTGGGCAGGTGGCGGGTCACAAGTGTGGCCTTCGTCGTTGTCCGTGTCCAGCGAACTACCGTCGCTGGGGCTGAAGCCGCCAGCGTCGGCGTCAGCATCACTGTCGTCCGTGCAAACTTGGTCAGGGTTGAAGGCGGTGGTGTCGCAGTGGAGTTGCGTATCGTCGGGAGTGGTGGGCGTGCGGAGGTACGCCGTGGGCGAGCAGTCAGCAGCCCGTGCGTATATGGCCGCCTTTCGCCCGCTTGGCTCGCGGACACCCTCAGCCCAAATCTTGATGCGTTCAGCTTTGGCTCGGTTTGCACGTCGCGCCAGCTCTGAGTCAAGGTTTTGGATCAGACGGTCCAGGTGCTCTCCGTGCGGTGCTGGCTCGTCGGGGTTCCAGGCCTCAGGAAAGGCCAGGAGGACCGTGGGGCGCAGCTTGTGGCAGAGAAGGCGGGCCGCGGTCCACGTGCAGTCGATGCGCTGCGCCAGGTGAGGCGGGATGGCACGGCAGTCGATATGGCGGTGCTGTCCGATGAAGCGAAGCTCACAAAGTTGCCGATGGAGCTTGCGAAGGCGGTTCATGTGAATCGTGGAAGCTCCGTAGGTGGGAAAGGCGCGGGGGACAGCGGGTCGCTCCTCGAACGTGGGAGTGAGCCCGTGCATGGTAGGGGCCTTCTTTTTTGGGTGGTCTGGCGGCGGAGGTGGCAGGTCGCGCAGCCGAGTGAGATGGTACTCATGGCTGGCCTCGTTTGCCAGGGCGAACATGCGTTCCACATCGTCGCGTGTGTCGGCCTGCACCATGCGGTCCTGGTATCGCCCTGCGATAAGGGTCCCTAATGCCTGAAGTTCGTGGTCCTCATGAGCTCCATCGTTAAGAGGGTAAGGCGTGGGGGCAAGAAGGCGTCGGGCCGTATGGTCGAGGCGGCTGAGGTCGAGCGTGACCTGTAGGCCAACGTGGGACTTCGCTGGCAAGTCACGCAGATAGCAGAAGTCGGTGACAAGGGATCGCGCCGCTTGGTTGGCGATGATGTAATCGATGCGCGAAGTGCGGGGACACTTGGTGACACGGTCCCAGTCAGGGACATTGCCATATGTGTGCATGGTGTGGTCAGGTGAGAGAGAGAGAGAGGAGAGAGGGAGAGAGGGAGAGAGGGAGAGAGGGAGAGAGAGAGAGAGAGAGAGAGAGAGAGAGAGAGGCAGAGAGAGAGAGAAAGAGAAAGAGAAAGAGAAAGAGAAAGAGAAAGAGAAGAGAGAAAAGAGAAAGAGAAAAAGAGAAAGAGAAAGAGAGAAAGAGAAAGAGAAGAGAAAGAGAAAGAGAAAGAGAGAGAGACAGAGAGACAGAGAGAGAGAGAGACAGAAAGACAGAGACAGAGAGAGACAGAGAGAGAGAGAGAGAGACAGAGACAGAGAGACAGAGACAGAGACACAGAGACAGAGACAGAGACAGAGACAGAGACAGAGACAGAGACAGAGACAGAGACAGAGACAGAGACAGAGACAGAGACAGAGACAGAGACAGAGACAGGAGACAGGAGACAGGAGACAGAGACAGAGACAGAGACAGAGACAGAGACAGAGACAGAGACAGAGACAGAGACAGAGACAGGAGACAGGAGACAGGAGACAGGAGACAGGAGACAGGAGACAGGAGACAGAGACAGAGACAGAGACAGAGACAGAGACAGAGAGAAAGACAGAGACAGAGGCAGAGACAGGGACAGGGACAGAGACAGAGACAGAGACAGAGACAGAGACAGAGACAGCGACAGAGACAGAGACAGAGACAGAGACAGAGACAGAGACAGGGACAGAGACAGAGACAGAGATGGGGGGTGGGGGAAAAAAGAAGAAGAAGAAGAAGAAGAAGAAGAAGAGGCCCTCCCGCCGCACGAGGGCGACGCAGACGAGGTGCCCCAGCACCTTCTCCACGTCGGCCCTGCGACAGCGGCCGCGACGCAGCAGGCACCTGATCGCGAGCCGGGCCCGCCACAGCCGCGCCCGAGAGGCCGACGCCTCCCCGAACCAGCGACGCCCCAGCCCAAGACGTCGCAGGAGCCCTCGGTCTCCCCCGCTTGGCCCTCCGTCGCCACAAAGAGCCCGCGGCGCCCCGGGTCGGCTGCCGCCTGCGAGACCGCCGCGCAGACGGCCTTGCAGTCGACGCCGAGGCTCACGAAGTTGCCCACGTACTGGAGGCGACTGAAATCGGAGAGGCTGGGATCGAGCCGACCATCACGAAGCCGCTGAAGCTTGGAACAGCCGACATGCTTTGACGCGTGCTCCACGATGGACTGGCACCACCATAGGGCCCACGACCACACCCCGGGCACCACCTGCAGCCCGGGGAAGACCTCGGCCGACGGGGCGACCACGCGGCCATCGATGTCGGACGCCCCCACGGCGTCCGCCAGGACGGGCCGCATCGCGAGGGGCCGCCCGAGCTGCTCGGGCAGCTCGAGGCGGTAGAAAGCGCCCTTCCAGTCGACACCATCGACGGTGAGGACGCCCCCAGGGTCGCCCAGCTCGAGCGCCGCGACCCGCGGGCAGGGCGACGGGAGGAGGTCGGCGAAGACGACGTTGCTGCGCCTGCAGTCGATCGCTACGCGGAGCCGACCCCCCTTAAGCTTCTTCACCAAAAACGCATAAACTCCCACACCGTCCTCGAGTGGGTAGTCGACCAGCTTGCGTCGACGCGGGCCACGAACGACCCCCCCCCAGTCTCGCGCGCGCCTGAGCCTAGGATCGGAGCAAGGAGTCTTTGACAGGGCATGTCTCGAGTCTGGCGGCCGCGACGTCGGCCTGCAGCACGCTCCTTCGAACGAAAAGCTCGACCATGGATAACCCGCCATCGCCCCGCGCGTCCGCGAGCGGCACCGGGGGCACAGCTCCGCCCGGCAAGGAGGCGAGCGCGGGGCCATAGCTTCGAGGGGCGACTCCTCGACCTCGCAGCCGCCCCTGGCCACGCGAAGCTGAGGAAGCGCTTCCGCGGGGGGCGGATCTCGCGGAGGCGCGCTTAGATCCCCCACCGCGCTCTGGACGCGCGCGAGAGACTGGCGCTGGGCGAGCGACACAGCACCTGCTGGACAACGACGGCCACCTCCGACTCGACGAGACGGATCGTTCAACCAATTCCACGCATCCACGGCCCGGGCCACGTCCTGCTCAAAACTGGCTCGCCGGCAGAGGCGTTGCTGAACACCACGGCTGAGTCGGCCCAGGCCTTCACCTCGCTGATGCTGAAGATCACAAGGATAGGGCAGGGGCGGGACATCGGGCGGGACGCGTCGACCCGGGGCGGCGGCGTGCAGGGCCGACGAGGCAGGCGGACCCCCGCAGGTGAGACGGCGACCGCCCGGGCACCTGCTCTCCCCAGCGGCCGGCCTTGGCCCACCCACGCTTGCGCCTGGCTTCGCGCTCCTCGCGCGCCAGACGCAGGTTCCCGTTCAACTTCCCTTCACGCTCGAACTCGGACCTCACGCGCTCGGCTCCGGGCAGATCATGATGGCCGCGTGGGCCCGCGTTACACCTGAGAACGCAGCCTGCTCCTCCAGCGCGAGCTTCCCCCGATACCCTTGCTCTCCTGGTCCTTGGCCTTGTCCCAGTGAGCGAACTCGATGGCCTGCATCCTCCGAAACTTCGTCTCGATCGACACTAGGTTAGTCGCGCCGAGCACATCTACGCACAGGGCCTGATTGGTCTGCAACGTCAGCTGGAAGTGCTCCTGCACCCCCCAATCCGACGCGGCCAACTTGCAGATCGAGCGAAAGTGTTCATGATAGCCCTCGATCCCCAACCCTGCGTTCAGGATATACTCCATACACCAGTCTGCCGTGCGAGGTCCTGGTAGACCCCATTCAGCAGCATCGAACTCCCCTCGACGCGTGACGCGTGAGCTCCACCATGGCCGACCAGGTGAGCTCCCTCGTCCCCCTCTTGATGCGGGTGCCAGGGAGGATGCGGGCGTCGGTGGCCACCGCCCACTGCAGGAAGCTTAGGAGGCTGGCCGCCGTCACGTACTCGACGAAGAGGCCCTCGCCCGACGGCAACACAAGGATGTCCTGATCTCCAACCCTCGAAGCGGTCGGCACGTGCCCGACTACCTTATTCCCCACACGGAACTCGCCGCGGCAAGCCGCCACTCGCCAAGCCCCCATCAGCCGGGTCCACAGTGCCTGCCGCTCGCGCGGCCGCCGCCGCAGCCCCAGCCAGCGGAGCCCGACCGCGCAACAGCCCCACTGCGGGCCCAGGGGGCGGCACCGCTGGGCCAGCGGCCGCGGCGCAGCCCGGGGGCACCAGCACCTTCAGCCCGCGCAGCACCTGCAGGTCCCCAATGAGCTCGGCCCTCCGCCGACACTCCTGACCAGCCACCTCCTCGGCCTCGGCCACCAGCTGGCGGACCTCCGCCTGGGTGGGCTCAGCACGGAAGGCATAGATGTCCGCACGGCGGATGCCGATGGGCGGGACCGCGAAAGTCCCGAACCTGGCGGCCTGGATGTCCGGGTTGTCGGACAAGGAGATGATGTACAGGTCGGCATCGGCAGTATAGAAGACATGGTCGCTCCTACTCAAACCGACGCGGCCCAGATTCAGGTGCTGGTGCCACTTGTTCTCGCCGGCGTACCAGACGTATACCCACTGGGTGGTCGCCATGGTGTCCCGTCTCGAAGGTCAGACTGGGTGCACCACGGCGGGACACGACACGAGAACCTCCTCGAACAGCGAGCGTCAACCCACTCGTAGCCACGGCCCCGACGGACAGGCCCACGACGAAGAGAGAGAAGCCCACCCCGCCACACTCGCACGCCTGCTCGCTGGGGCAGGCCTCGGCTGGGGGGCAGCCCCCTGGGGCAGTTGGTGGCGGAGCGGCCTGCTGCCTGCTGCCACTGAGGTCCTCCCAGCACGGCAGGCAGCCCTGTGCACGGGGGGATGCTCGGGCACAGCAGGCTCACGTTGCAGCCCGTGGCGGCAGGGGGCGCTGGGCAGGCTGCGCAGCGCGCCAGGTAGCTCACTACCCCAGCGCCGGCCACATCTACGACCCGCCCCAGCCACGGCGGGAACATCTGGCACCTGTGCCGGCCCTGGCGCCTTGAGCACCCGAACGGCGGCGGAAATGCGCAAATAAAAACCGTGAAATCACGAATATCATTCATCATAATCATCATAATCATCATCATCATCATCATCATCATCATCATCATCATCATCATCATCATCATCATCATCATCATCATCATCATCATCATCATCATCATCATCATCATCATCATCATCATCATCATCATCATCATCATCATCATCATCATCATCATCATCATCATCATCATCATCATCATCATCATCATCATCATCATCATCATCATCATCATCATCATCATCATCATCATCATCATCATCATCATCATCATCATCATCATCATCATCATCATCATCATCATCATCATCATCATCATCATCATCATCATCATCATCATCATCATCATCATCATCATCATCATCATCATCATCATCATCATCATCATCATCATGATCATCATCATCATCATCATCATCATCAGCAGCAGCAGCAGCATCAGCATCAGCATCAGCATCAGCATCATCATCAGCATCATCATCATGATCATCATCACCATCATCATCATCAGCAGCAGAATCATCAGCAGCATCAGAATCATCATCATCATCAGCAGCATCAGCATCAGCATCAGCATCATCATCAGCATGAGCATCATCATCATCAGCAGCATCATCATCATCATCATCATCACCACCATCATCATCATCATCAGCAGCATCAGCATCAGCATCAGCATCATCATCATCATCAGCATCATCAGCAGCAGCATCAGCATGAAGCATAATCATCATCAGCAGCATCATCATCGTCATCAGCATCATCATCATCATCATCATCACCACCATCATCATCATCATCATCAGCAGCATCAGCATCAGCATCAGCATCATCATCAGCATCATCAGCAGCAGCATCAGCATGAAGCATAATCATCATCAGCAGCATCATCATCGTCATCAGCATCATCAGCAGCAGCAGCATCAGCATCAGCATGAAGCATCATCATCATCAGCAGCAGCATAATCATCATCAGAATCAGCATCACCAGCAGCATGATAATCATCATCACCATCGTCATCATCACCATCGTCATCATCATCGTCATCGTCATCAGCATCGTCGTCATCATCACCAGCAGCATCGTCATCATCATCATCATCATCATCAGCAGCAGCAACATCAGCATCAATATCATCATCATCAGTAGCAGCAGCATAATCATCATCAGCATCATCATCAGCATCGTCATCACCATCATCATCATTATCATCATCGTCCTACTCGTCCTCATCGTCATCAGCATCATGATTAGCATCATCAGCAGCAGCATCAGCAGCATCCCCAGCAGTAATCATCAGCAGCAGCAACAGCATCATCACCATCAGCATCAGCATCAGCATCATCAGCATTATCATTGTCATAATCAGCAGCATGAGCATGAGCATGAGCATGAGCATGAGCATGAGCACGAGCACGAGCATGAGCATGAGCATGAGCATCAGCATCAGCATCAGCATCATCATCATCATCATCATCATCATCATCATCATCATCATCATCATCATCATCATCATCATCATCATAATGATCATCATCCTTCCTCGACCCTCCCTCCCTCCTCCTCCTCTCCCTCCTTCTCCTCCTGCTGCCCGCACCCCTCAATTCGAAAAGCGTCGGGAAGGCGAAGAAGGGGGAGGCGGATCGAGGAGGCTCAAAAGGGAACATGGGGACCGAGGAGGAGCATCAGGGAGGAGGATCGAGGAGGCTGAGGAGGAGGAGAAGGCAGTCCGACGAGCTTCGGAGAGGCGGAGGCGGAGGAGGAGGAGGAGGAGGAGGATCAAGGAGGAGGAGGTGGAGGAGGAGGATCAAGGAGGAGGAGGATCAAGGAGGAGGAGATGGAGGAGGAGGAGGAGGGTCGACGAGGAGGCTCGAGGAGGCCCCGAGGCGGCCCCCGCAGCCCCCGCGTCCTGGGCGGCCGCCAACCACCCCCCCGCGAGCTCTTCCGCCTTCTGCGGCCCGAGATCCACCTGCACGAGCTGCACGTCCACGTCCAGCGCCGCCGCCGCCTCGCGCTTCCAGAGGGGGGGGCGCCGGGGGGGGCGGGGCAGCTGTGCGCAAAGAGGGGAGGGGAGAGGTCTCGGGGAGGAGGGAGAAGGGGGAGGAAAAGGAGGGAGGTTCGAGGAAGGAGGGAGAGGAGGAGGAGGAGGAAGAAGAGGAGGGAGGAGGTTCGAGGAGGAGCAAGGAGGAAGTCCAAGAGGGAGGGGGGAGGAGGGAAAAGGGAGACAGGGAGAAGGAGGAGGACCGATAAGGGAGTGGAGGGAAGATCAGAGTAGACACATCGTAGCGCAAAAAGCTAGGACGGCAAGAAAGGAGGAAAGACCGGGCCTCCGACACCCCGCTGGCGATGACGGAAAACCCAATGACTGGGATCAAGCACCTCCCATCAAAACCTGAACAACAACGTCCTCCAAGGCACCCGCGAAGTCAGCAAGCGGCACCAGCTCATCCAGAGGGACATCCCCACGCATGTGGTTGGGGTGGGCCCCTCTTCTGCGAGAGGGGGAGAGAAGAGATAAGAGGAGGAGGAGGAGGAGGAGGAAGGAGGAGGGATCCCTCTTCTTGCGGCTCAGACTGCTCTCAAGGTGGGCTGGTCTTGGGCCCACTACAGCAGCTACGGGCACGGCCTCCTGGCCTGGCCCCTTCATTAACAGAGCCACACACACCGTGCTGCAGGACAGGGTAACCGCCATCAGACGTGCCCGTCGGAGGGAGCCGATGGTCCTGTGTCCCCTGCACCAGGGCACGCACATGTGCATTCGAACCCACGCAGTCGAAGGAGGGGATAGGAGGTTCCGAGCGCACTCGAAGCAGACTTCTCCTGTGCTCGAGGGGTCCGAGACTCGAGCTGCGAGAATCGATCTGCGAAGATCGAAGGTCGATGGGGAGGCTTGAAGAAGGACGCTGAAATCCGGGCGTCGTATTTGTTCCGCAACGGGGGATGCTGCTGTTTCGGGCATCGGGACCCTCACAGATCGCTACGGCTCGAAAAAACGCGAATCTCGAGAAAGGAGGACTTGGAGGAGACGATATCGAAGGTATCGATCGGCGCAAGCGCGGACGAGGCTGCGCGAGTTTCGTTGGGTTCTCTTGGTTTCTGCGGCCGACTCCTTGGCAATGGGCCACCAGCAATTCATGAGGATCGCGAAACGGTGACGAGGTGACCAGCGAGATCCCCGATTTGAAACAGGTCCACCCCTCCTGTGTAAACGCTGCACAACGTTATCTGGATAGGTTTGAGCCGGCTTGCCGATGATCGTCCTAGCGCAATGCTTTCCCCAACCATGCTGTGGTATCGGGTCCTCGCTTTGAAGAGGCAGCGCCCCGCGTTCCTCCTCTCCTCTCCTCTCCTCTCATCCTCTTCCCCCTCCTCCTTCCCCTCCCCCTCCTTCTCCATCCTCATCCTCATCCTCATCCTCATCTTCATCATCCTCATCACCACCATCATCATCCTATGCGACCGTGCCATCCATGTCGACACACCTCTCACAAAGTGCGTGGTTCCCTCACACGGCTCGTGGCCCCACAGGGAGCTCCACCAAAGGCCCCACATGGCGCAGTTCGCATGCGGGGACCGCCACCCATCTTGGCAAACCCTTCACACGGTTCGTGGCCCGTAGGGAGCTCCACCCAAGGCCCCAGTGGCAAGGTCCGCATGGCGGCCCCGCCAAATTTCGGCACACCCTTCACACAGTTCGTGGCCCTTCGGGAGCTCCACCCAAGGCCCCAGTGGCAGGGTCCGCATGGCGGCCCCGCCCCAATTTCGGCACACCTCTCACATGGCTCGTGGCCCCGTAGGGAGCTCAACCCAAGCCCCCAGTGGCAAGGTCCGCATGGCGGCCCCGCCCCATTTAGGCACACCCCTCACATGGCTCGTGGCCTCATAAGGAGCTCAAGCCCCCACTGGCAGGGTCCGCATGGCGGCCCCGCCCCAATTTCGGCACACCCCTCACACGGTTCACGGCCCCCTAGGTAGCTCCACCCGGCAGGGTCCGCATGGCGGCCCCGCCCAATTTCGGCACACCCCTCACACGGTTCGTGGCCTCGTAGGGAGCTCCACCCAAGGCCCTAGTAGCAGGGTCCGCATGGCGGCCCCGCCCCATTGTGGCACACCCCTCACACGGTTCGTGGCCTCATCGGAAGCTCAACCCAAGGCGAGGAGCAGCAGCAGGAGGATAGCGGCCACGAGGGGCCACTTGAAACGCAAATTCTTGGCGCTTCGGCTATCCCCACCAGCTGTTCAGGATCCTCCTCAAAGGCCAGGACGCGGGGCAGGACGCACGCGTGCTCCTCCTCAGCATCACCAGCCCGGCAGTGGACCAGGTCGCTTCACTCAAGCTACTTTGGCCACCAGACCTCGGAGGCACGATCCCTTCGAGTGACTGCCAGGCACTGGGGCTCAGACTGGGCTCTAGGTTTCCCAGCAACGAATGCATTGTCGTGTACGACGCGGGAAAATTTGGGGAGTTCCACGCGGATGACAGGATCGATAGGCCCACCTACGTGGGCCAATCGTGGTACAGGATGGACAGGGCCCCCTCCATGCTCCAGATTCGGCGGATCTCAACCGCAATCACCGAGATCTACAGGCTGCAGCAGGTCCCCCGCGACCTAATCGGGACCCCCCTGGACGTCATCACTTATCTCCTCACCTTTCGCACGGCCGACAAAAAGGACAGGGCCCTGGCCAACAGCGTTCGCAACACAGCACAGTGTGGGCGAGCCCTACTCGCACGCGCCACGGCCACCCTTGAGGCACGCTTCCCCAGCACGGGCCTGCCCGCGCCAGACGCCGTCTCAGCGCTACCCACCCACCCCACAGGGCATCGAGCCGCCCCCCCCCCCTCCTCCGACGCAGAGGTGGACGAAGCCCTTGGACATGTTTTTCAACGTGCCAGGGACCTACCATCGCAGACGGCCCTCGAGGAAGGCGCCGAGCGTCACTGCCTCAACCGCGACGCCACAAGGGCCCTCGCCGCCTCCACCCTGCACCACGTAACAATCGTACACGGACCCCCCGGCACTGGCAAGACAATCTTCTCGGTTGCCACCATGGACACATGGTCTAACGCGCTCTCCCCTGGGCTGTCAGTCGCCCTGGCAGCAGGCTCCAACACGGCCGCAGATCAGCCGGCACAAAGCCAACAAGTTGGGCCCCCTCTCAGGGTTCCCGGCCAGGTGCGTGCGTCTCGCCAAAGACTTCAAAGTAGCTAAGGAATTGGCAGGGCCCACCCCTGGAGGACACTACCACACAGCCCACGGCAGGTTCCCATACGAAGGCGGATCATCCTCCAAAGATTCCCTGGCATTCAGGAACCAACTGCTCAAGGATGCGAAGACAGTCATCGCCACACATGAAACTGCGGAAGCACTAAAGAAGGCTGCCCCGGTCGCCCTGCTCATCATAGATGAGGCAGGGCAGGCGCACGAGCTAATGGCTGCCATGTCCCTGGACAGCGTCATCCGCTCCGGTGGACACCTAGTGCTGGTGGGCGACCCCAAGCAGCTCCCCCCCCAAAGTCATCTCCAGGAAGGCAGCGGATCTTCGACCGTCTCCATCTTCGACCGTCTCCACCAGGCCTTGGGGGAGGACCATTCAGCCGTGGTTCAGCTCAGCCTCTGCTACCATATGCACCCTCTGCTGCTGGCCTGGCCGAACTGGGTCTTCTACAACAACAGTGCACACCGGCCTAACCGACCCTTTGTCGCAGAGACATCTGATCGAGAGGCTTCCATGGCGAGATTTCCATCCCTGGAGCGACTCCAGAGTCGTAGACCCAGCAAAGGCAGCGGGCACCACCAGCGACGACATGGAGCAGATGTTGCGCTGCCTCGAACCAGGGAACCAGCACAACGAGGAGCGGCACCGCTTCCTACTGGTGGACAACCCTTCTTTGGAGGTCTCATCGAGACTACACGCAAGGTACGCCAACCTGACGGAGGCAGCGCAGACGGTGGACATCGCACGGGCCCTCCTTCCTGCCATGCTAAAGGAGACCACAGCGCCAGTAGTCGTCGGCCACCAGCTACAGTGCGCCATCCTGGAGAACGGATGGCCCCGAAGCGCACGCAGCGTCAGCGGCGCCCTCAGACAGTCCAAGGCCAAAGGCACAGGGAAAGGGAAAGACGGAACAGCCCCGGGCAGGGACCCCACAACCCACCCCCCAGAGCGCTCCACCGACACCAGCGACCACGCCAGCGTCTTCGTACAGCGGAGCTCAGAGCTCACTGGCATCTCCCTGAGGTTCCCCGGCTTGCGGCGCATCGCTGAAGAGCAGCTTGCGAGCGGCAAGTTCACCATCTCAACCATTGACTCCAGCCAGGGCGGCGAAGCCGACCTGGTCATCTTCCTGACAACCAGGTCCAACTGTTGGCACGACTGGAGCTTCATGGGCAACTCCAACAGAGCAAACGTGGCAATCACCCGCGCCACCCGCAACGCGGTCATCATCGGTGACGGGAGGATGTTCGCCGCCGCCCCGGGGTCGCGCCTCCGGGAGCTCTCGGATCGAATACGGAAGATTCGCCAAACTGTGGGTACGCTTCTCGCAAGCAAGGAACATAGGCAGTAGGTGGACACCCACGGTCGACGAAAGATCCGACCCCATCCGGGACCTCACCACATGGATCCCCGAGTCGCCCTCACACACAGGAGACGAAGTCATCCAAGGGCTCGACAATGCGATCGTGAAAGTTCGCGCCTCCATGGAAAAGAACTTCGCAGATAGGATAGCAGCACCACTTGATCCAGAGCTCTCATGGAGCAGCCTCGGGGACACCATCCGCAGCAGATTGCAGAGGCTTGTCGAGGACCCCGCCATGGGGGTTGTACTATACACCGTCCCCGGGCTTCACCCCCACCAATACTCCATAGCCGACGCACCAAGGCAGCCCGGCCGGCTCGACCGCAAGGCATGGAGCCATCTAGGGTTCTGCTGCGACGTCGAGCTGGGCATTGACGCAAGCAACCTTGTCTACAACCTAACGTGGGCCGTTCTGGTCTGGTTCC